AAAAAAAAAAAAAAAGTATAAAATTATCTAAATAAGAAATTCCTCTCTGCAGATGCATCCTCAGGTTGGGGCGATATGAAACAACAGGAAAAGGCCCCAATCTGAGCTCTGCACCTTAGGGGAGCTGCCCACCACTTATAAAAGCATATCTTTGGGAACAAAGCAATTAGTAATACAGTATTTCCTACTCTTTCATGCTTCATACAGTCATCTGTGGCAGTCATGTCAATGACCATGACCTGCAAATGAGGGGAAAGAGAGTGGAGTGGAGCGGAGGAATAGAGGTTGGTAGAGAGGGGCTTGGAAATCATCCAAATGCCAACAGTCTAACCGATATATTTCTCTCGAAACACTTTTTCAGTAAGAAACTCCCTTTTAGCTTTGGAAGACTTACAGGGACATCCGGTGCTGATACTCTAATGTTCCCTCACTTCTGGCACACTGGGGGTCAACACGTGCCTGGGGGCCATGTGCTAGAACGACAGTGGTCACGACTCTCACGGCAGACTAAATGTCAAAAGAGATCACCCAAGGCCACATATCTCAGGCCTTGCTGCACAACAGAATCACTTAGAAACACCCAGATTCCCAGGCCCTCTCACCACAAATGGACTGCTTCGATGTCATCGGGGGTGGGGCTCAGGCATCCAAGTTTTTTCAAAGCTCCCTGGCTGATTCTAAATGGACAGCCAGGTTGTTAACCACTGGCCCAGAGTGCGGGTAGAGGCCATGTGACATAGGGTCCTGTTCCGGAGGCAGCACAGCTAGGTCTTGGCCTTGACACTTAACCTCTTTGAGGCCCAATTTCTTCATTTGTAAAATGTGTGTAATTTTGGTTCTCATCTCATGACACTGCTCTGACTCTTAAGTAGAACGGCACAGATTCTCTGGCACGTAGGAGACCCTCACTGACTGGAAGCTGATATTACAAAGGGTAGATGTGGAAGGGCCCTGGGAATCCAACCCTGTCCTATTAAAGACAAGAACCCCGAGGCCCAGGGAAAGGGCAGGGCTTGCCCAGAGTTGTTCAGCTGGAGGGCAAAGGCAGGGCCCCTCCATGACCACTCAGCTGCCTCCTGACCCACTGCCTTAATCCACCACAGTAGCAGAACGTTGACCACCTTATCCCCACAGAAGAGGCTCCACCGCTCTGAGTGAGGGGAGACTTGCCTTCTTCTTTGCCTTTTCTTTTGAAATGACCAAGGCACAAATTTGCCTGGCCATTCATTCAATCAATTACGGGGTGGCCTACAAACAAGTAAGTCATCAGGTCCCAAACTGAAATTTGGTCTTTTCCACATTCTCCCAAAGAGTTCAAATAAATACGAGATAATGAAAATAGAAATGTCTGAAATGGATCAATAAGGAAAGATTGAGTGTGGGTGTTATGTAAGATATCCTGCAGGGAGTCCAAGCTGGCAGTGGTGGGGCCCAATGTGCTATTCGTGATGTCTTGGACTGCAAGACAGGTTTAATGACAGTGAAGTCTTTGTAGAATCAGGCAGAGGATTGGGGGATCTGAAGGGAGGAAAGGCAGGGGTTGTGAGCTGCAAAAGCTTGGAATCTCTTGCTCCTAGACCTTTCATTTAATTGCTGGTCTGCTATTAACCTGTTGGGACTAAGGTGGCAGAAGGTGGGGAAAGCAAGGTATGACCCCTGGGTGCTAAAGGTAATATTAGGAACCACTGGCAAAGGATAGGGGTCTCCAGCTCTCCAAAATGAGAGAGCATGTGCACGTAACTTTGCAGGCACCCATCAAGTGCATCCAAGCCCAGGTTCTACAATCAATTCCAATTCCGGAACCCAACCAGCTCCTCAAAGATGAAGTAGATGCCAGGATGCCACAATAGGGTGTCGATGGCAGTCCTACTGCTGGTGGATCCAATTTGCTGGAGCGGGTGCCATGCTTGCTGTGCCAACCCTGTAACTGGACAGCCACTGGTGCTCGCCTCATTGAATGCTTTGTGAGCATGCCTAATCAGGGGACAGGCTGGCCTTGCTGTCCCTGGGGGTACAGGGGATGCTGGCTGAGCTACAGTGTCAGCAGAGGGGGAGATGGGAGCCTCTTTTGAGCTTTCCTTTTTCAATGGACTTAGGAGACTCTACTTTGTTAGAAATGCAGTTCTGCATTTTGGATTTTATGGTGAGAGCTTTCAACAGTTAGCCTACAGCACCTTGGCTGACTGGTCAGAACCACAGCCAAGCCCAAACAAGACCAGGGAAAGCAGCCATGTTGACACGGAACTGCCCAGCCTCACTCTAAATGCATCTGCTGCTATCACCAGGCACTGGTGAGGTGCGGACATCTATTATCCAGTTAATTTTGCCCCTACATATAGGCTCGCCTGAGTGTCTCCCCTTGTGCAGTCTCATGATTTCTTATTCATCTCAATTGCTAGAAGCCAGCTGAGCTTTCCTCCATGCCCAGTGCACGCTGGCACCTTTGCCGAGTCACCTGGGCCAGTGGGTGCTAGGTAGAGGTCAGCCTACCTGGGATGGGTGTTGACTGACTCCATAGCCAAACTTTTTAGATCAAATGCAGAAGATAGCTTCCTACTCTGAATGACTTCCCCTCTCAACTTAGCATTGGGGGGCAACAAGTCCCCAAACAAGGTTCTAGACCCTTCTGAACGAAATTTACAGCTTCACACATGTGCCGTTTTCCAGTCTCTGTGGACTCCAATAGTAAGCTATTGGTCCCAGCTACCAGCCAGCTTCTACCTCCTTCAGGCCATGATCCTGCCCACTCACTGTGAGATTTTTTTTTCACAATAAGTGAATCAGTAGCCACTGGCAGGATTTCTAGAGAGCACATCTCAATCTCTTTTTATACAAAACAGAATGGGATGTGATTTGCTTATGGTCACATATCTAGTTAGGGTATAATGATAACACTAGACCTCAGGTGTCCTAATTCCCAGCCTGAGCCCTTACAACTCCTGCCTTTGGTGTGTGGAGGGGGAGCAGGGTTGGGGAGGGCTGGTGTCCTGGCATCTTTTAGAAAGGAATGACTATTTCCATTCATGAATGCCTAAAGACTCCCATTTCATAATCGGCAGACAAAGCCACCAATGTGATCCCCACGACCTCATAAGCATTCATTAAAATGCATTTGAAATCATGTGATGGCTTCCCCATCCCCTAAATAATGAGAAAACAAAGGCAACCCTTCTGATAGAGACCAAGTTCAGCTCTGAAGTCAATATTACTTCTGGTTCTCTCTGAACAATGACATATGACAATTTCCCCCTTTTCTACATTTTCAGTCCAGAATGGCAAAAAGGACAAGGATTTCTTGAAAAAGGTCTAGATTATGAGAGTACAGTCTAGGCTCATAAAATGGGCATAAAGAGAATAAAGCATATATATAGTACACTTCCTAAAGAAGTGTGGCAGGTTGTTATAAACACTTAATTTTGGACACTTTAGCTAGAGGTTTAACATGAACATTGATGAAACGCCAGCAAAAATATGTACAGTTCCTACGAGGTACCTATGAGTTCTCCCTGAGTTTCCAAGAAACTGATGTTTGCCAACTAGATTGGATTTCAAGCCCTCTGAGACAAGGGTGGTCCCCAGTAGACTTGCTCAGAAGAAAGAAATGAAGGCACTATGGGGGACACAGTGGAGGTGGCCCCAGAAGAGATAAGACAATGATGCATCAGGATTGGGTTTGCAGGAAGAGAAAGAGGATGGGGGTGGGGAAAGAAAGAATATGCTTGGATATATACAAAGGATCAGATGAGTATACATGTGTATAATATAAATGCCTATATTTGGGTATATGTATCATTTGCATGTTTGTTTTTCAGAAGAATGTCCCCACAAACTGAAACTGACCTTTCCGTAGAACAAACAGGATTTTCAGCATTTCTAGAATTGCAAGACATGAAGCTCTGGAGAGTCCCAGGGTAGCTGGGAATGGCAGAGAATCCTGAATGCTGATTGGTTTCAAGAAGAGTCAGTTTGTCTTGGAACAAATCTCTGCTACCAGGTGGTTTGGAGCAAGAACCTTGACCCACGAGTAGGGGATTTCTTGGTGCCTCTCTCTGGCTTGCCCTGAGCCAGCACGCTGCATGCTCAGCACCCCACGCAGGCAGAAGCCAGGTGGGGTGGAGGAAGGAGCTCTGGAATAGATATTGGAAGACTTGCACTTAAGTCCTAGCTCCTCCATTTGCTTTGTGACTGTAAGCAAGTCACTTCCCCTTTCCAAAGCCACGATTGATTCTTCTGT